CGGTTTCAGAACTCAAAAGCTTCGAGGTTTATGATTTTAAGTCTTATTATTACAGTTTTCGTTTATAAAATACCTAAATCTAACCTTCAGCAATTAAGGTTAAATTTGATTTAAAACACGATTTCCTTCTCCTATTGAATGAATGTCAAATCAATAATAAACTATGATCTAGGTCCTAGCAGAACTCTAGCTGAATAGCATTTCAACACACAGATATATTCTGTTTATAAAAAAACATGTTATAATGGAACAAGATGACATTCAATTTGTACTTTTTAATGGAAGTAGGTGGTGTGTACATAATAGAAGTTTCCTTCTTGGATTTGAAATAGTAAAAACTCTTAATCATACCTCCATTATCAACCAGTATCGTGCTTTATGATTTAGAGAACATGGAAGCAGCAAAGGTTAGGTTTGTAACACATCACATTCATGCTTGGCAATATTTTGAAATGATACATATATCGGATAATATATCTCACATTTTGAAATAATGTCACATTCACATAACCCCTTCTTCCACTTAGCCCTTAAATATTTTATGTAATACCTAAAATTGGTTAGTAAAAACTGATTTTACGTAATTAAATTAAGTAGGCTATATAAAACGAGTTATACTTTTAAAAAGGGTGCAATCTTCTGCAGAACAAATTCAGAAAAATGTTAAATATTTGTTATTTTAGGTTTGATTTAGCTCAATCAATAGTCTGTTTCCTACTAAGTTCAGTTTTGCATAAACCACCCACTGACAAAATACCTCAATTTTATACTGTAAAGCTTGATAAAATCTGCATTTTTATTTCAAAGTCATTATACGTAGCTAAAAAAAAATCTGTTGCATAAAGTCTATACTAAAAAAAATTGGCTTGACTGTTGTAGAAATGTCACAGCTTACATCTAATAACTGACCTTAGAACAGTAATTGGAGCTCTGGAGATATGTCACTTGGACTTCAGACCTTTAATTACAAGGTCAATATAACTCAAAATGTTGAAGAACGATTTAACTTATGAATTTTACAAACATGGCTTAACACTTTCAATATCCAAAGTGTTACACAAACAAAATTGACAAATGTGTTATTAAAGAGAAGGAAATATCATGGCTCTCTCTTTTAACAATTTGTTATGTAGATCTTAATAGTACTGGAAGAAATACATCTTGACGATCATTTACTTTACCAAACACTCTTCAAGTTCAAATAACTTTATTTTAAAATAAAATACCAATTTCTCCGGTTTACTATTTTTCCATACCGATATAACTGAATACTTTTATGAGATTAAATATTGACAACCAATTAACATTTTACAAACATGTAAAAAATAGTTTACACAGTTTACCAATGTGTTGTGTATTGTATTTATTTTAAATACCAGCAGACTAAACAGATTATACATATTAATAACATTTCTCTCAAATGACTGTAACATCAAACTCAAATACATTTTTATACAACAAATAAATCTAAGGATAACTTACAAAATCAGCGTTAAACTAAAACAATAAAAAAAATAACAGGTAATGAAGACAATCTGTAGGCTAAATAAATATGGATGTCTGCGACAAATAGGCCTGAGGGTTTTTTTAGAATTGCAAAACAACTATCAATATATACACAACAACAATAATTAAATAAAATTCAAACAATATTTATGTTTCATTCTTCAAATTGAAATAAAAAATGTATAACTTCAAATTGTTACTTTTTATTATATAACACTTTATTTTATCACGAGTGCCTAAAAAGGCTTCGTCATCGGAAGATGTGCAGCCGAGTTTGGTAAATCAGTGAATGTGTCTGTGTGATAGGTTTGTCATAATGCTCCATGCTTATCAACACACATAGAGACATTTTGTATATTTGTTAACTTTGTCAACAGCTCCAAAATGGTTTTCCATTTATTTTTACGATTAAATTCGAACTGTTTTGCCATTATTTAGATTCATTATATTTATTGATCCGCCAACTTGATCAGATAATCATAGATTTATAATCGTATGAATTTTAAATTAACATAACTGGACATTTTAACATTTTCATTTGTTATTATTTCGATAAATGTCATTTAGTGGGGTTCATTGCAGTGAAACCCCCAATACGACATGATAATAAACACACAAAATGTAATGTTGATAAAATAAGTTGTTTTTATAATTCATCACTACCTGTTCCTCGTAAAAATCACACAACATAGAAAACTGTACAGCTGATGTTCGCGACTCTATCTGATTTTGTCATAGGGATAAAATACTTGTTTTACCCCCACAATGCGTGAATTAAAAACAGCCATTTTCGCTACAGTATAAATGACGTTTTCATTCACCTGCCCGATCTCTGATATCTGCTCATAGTGATTCAGGCCAGAGTTATTCGGGCGGGCTACCAAAGATATCAGAAATATTGTTGCATAACGTTTTAATTAAACCTGCAGCAAGGTTTCATGTCGTATCTTTGTTTTGCTAGACTTATCACCCTTACTGGGTTATAATTAAAACCCTGATTTCCCTCTGATAAGAAGAAATAATCACCTCATATCTGCACACGATTGCCAAATCTACTTTATTTGACGAAATAGCCTTTGTTGTTTGTTATCGATGCCAAATAAGAAGGCATTAATTACGATAAGTTCTTTTGACAAGCTGGTACTTGATATTGTTTGGATGAATTATAAAGTAAAACCATGTGAAAAGCTATGACTTTGACCTTGACTAGATAAATATATTTGCAGTTATACTGTATCCAGACACAATCGGCCGTATTAATAAATACCCCCGCCACAGCAAACTTGCAGGCTAAGTGAATTTCCAATTGCCCGATAACTAAAAATACTGTTCACTAAAATATCCTTAAACTTGTCAGATTTTTTCACCCTTTAAAAACATCGGGTTTGCTGCAACAAAAAATGGAAGAAAGTGTGTTTTTTTAGAAATGTGAAAAGTTGAGTATAAGAGAAATACGTTTGCCAAAATGTTATCAAAATATGTAATATACGAGCAAACTAAACAAATTTACTTATTCTACATGAGAATTATAGGGAATATAAAATGTATAGTTTGTTAAATCCTCTCCGCAACTGTTGAGCGTACTGCACATTACTAAATGATTTTTTTAAGCTCTGCAAATGGTTTGGAAAGAAATTAAAAAACTCTATCTGTTGAGGGTAAAAATTCAGAAAATTCTGATTTAAACCCCCCTTCCTATAGTCCGATGTTTTAGTTCGATACAGGATTACTGCTTCGAGGGTGGGGATATCATGAAATTATGCTCCTTTAGTAATGGTCTACAATAAAATTAATACACAAAATAAATGTTCTTTTAATTTGTCAATGGGTAAGCGAGTTAAGTGATAAAAGGTGTCCTCCATAAGAATCACATGGGGACCGAGCTCCAATAACGACTACAAAGGATGTGTTTTAATAAAAAAAAGAATATATACTAGCAAAATAAATCCAAATTCTAAATTTTAATTGATACAAAAAAATTGAAATAAAAAATTGATTATTTCTTACTAACTGAGGAACCGAATACGTAGGTTGCTGCCACAGTAACTGCCGAAATAGGAATTTATAGTAAAAAAATATTAAAGCAGAAAATATGAAGCAGAACACAAAGTCTTAGCCATATATGTTTACTGAAATCAATATTTATATTTATGCTTATTCTCCATAAGACTAACATTGAGTTTATCTCGGCAAGAAAACATACTCTAGTTATTACTTCCAATATATCTGAAACAAACTGACGTAGAACATAGACTCAAAATACTAAATTGTTAGTTTTTTGTGCTCAATATAATGGTTAAATATAAATTAAAATTATAATGAACGTTGTACAGAATATTTGGAAAACTTATATTTGAGGTAAAATAACAACTAAAATGCTCCTTACTAGATGTCCCTTGATGTTTTATAAAATGTTAACTAAAAAGTAAATGAGTGTTTGCCTAAAGAAAGAACAGACACCTGAGTTGTATGCATTCTAGAATAGTTTTAAGGTTATAAACTGTCTCTTACATAATTTATAATTTTACTCTGTTACAATCTAAGAGTTCACACGTTGGACGATGATTTGTATCGAATAACTCTGTTGGCGATGAAAATTAAAAACCTTAGTTGTCTGAAAACCTTCCTTTGAACTTGAAGTTTTGGCAATGACAATGGCAACATAGTTCAATTACAACACCTGTGTTAGTCTGGAGAAAGGGATAGTCTGTCTAGGATAGTTTTCGTATTTAAATGAATAGTGAAGTCAGTTTATAAGCGATAACTTAGGCTGAATGCATTTGATCGGAATGAGTCAAAAAATCTAGACGCATTGAATTGTTTCAAACCCGTTATTAGGCTGAAGATGACTTAAGTCCTGGAACAGCCAATGTAAGCTTAGCACCCACTTACATCACGAAAGAACACATGGTTTGAGGGTAAGTCAGAGGAGTCAGTCCCTCGTGACTTCGCATTGTTTGCTGCCGAAGTACCACATTATAGTCAGTCCCATTCAATTTAAATCAAATTATATTCCTCCAGAAATGTACTTTCAGATTTATGTTAAAGCATAACAAAGCTAAGACTGTCTGTACTCCGCATCAAAGACCTAAAGGTCTAACCAATGGCGCCTCAACGCCTGTGACTCAGTCCACAAATGAGAGCAGATTACAATTCTGCGCCTACTCGGTTGTGACGAATCCGAAGGTAGTTTCAACGGGATGTTTATTCGGTTCCTGGCAATTTATAAAATAGGCCGGAGGATGATGGGACGCTGTGCGCGCGGCGGCCCGGAACAACGTTGCGTTGGATTGAAGGGTGTGGCAAAATACGGGCTTCCGGCACTGTGATGTTCAATTGTGCGTTCGTAGCGTGATTGCTACACGAGCGACGAGCGACGAGCGAGTCCTACTCAGTCCTGGACCTAGCTCTAGCAGCTTGCGGATTGTAGAAAAGAAATACTTAGTGCATAAAAAACCTTCAAAAACTTTGTATGAAGCTGACAATCATTACAAATGGAGGTATGATTTTGAAACTGTACAGTATGTGGTAACCACTTGAATCAAAAGCATTTGCAACGCATTTTGGCCACTTAGCAGTCGGAGGAGTGAGGATATTGGGAGAGAGCAGATTGTGTAGAACTATGCAATTCGTTTGCTTATCAATACAGATGTCTTAGCCATATATACTGGGTTTGAATAGTAATTTTGACCCAAGGATCTTTTGTAAAAGTTTTTCAGCACGATTGTATTTTGTACTCTGCCGTTTTTTTTAATCAACTATTTTTTAAAGGATCGCACCGACTAACACGGTAAAATATTTAACGAATAATCTTCTATAAAAGTGGAGTTCCATCTAATATACGAGATTTAATATAATGTTTCAAATTATATTCGAAAATTACCGGATATCTGATTACTTTGGTGCTCCTCTACAGATTCAAATATTGCAGCTTCAATCTTGAGACGAATCTGGACCAGTTGATATTTGACATTTGGGCGGCAACTGTGTTTGCTAACAATGTTTGGAATATTTTTCATGAACATGACGTTGAAAAATATCACAGACATTAACAAATAAAAATATGATTAAAAAAAAATCATAATCCGGCCTTATATAGAGTAGTTTTAACGAGGATTTCACTTAGTTTAAAAATTCTATGCTGTAGAGTTTGCCTTGTTTTCCAAATCTAAACGGAAAATATGGACTTATATGAGAGGTTTGATAAATTTGCATTTTCCATAAGCGACTGAAATATCTTTTCAATTTTCACATAAATACGGTGTTTTCAAATGCTTGGCAGCAAGACAATAGAGCCTGCTGATTGAGAAATTGAGTTGGCTAACCCTCAATAACTAGATAGTTTTAATGCATAATATATCCGTAATCACAATAAACATTACCGAAATAAAACACTTGCTAGCACGAATAAAAATTATACAGGGTGGTCATACATTATTGGATACATTTTAAGATTGAATAAATAAATAACCAAGCAGCTTAGAAACATGGTAATTATTTCATGAAATAGCAAATTTAAAGCAGTTTTATCCAGTAACTGCCAAAAATAATTATAAAAAGTTCAGTAAATATAAAAGTAGCCTAATTTTAAAAAGTCTGTAAAAATCACCCATACTGTTATTTGTAAGTTAAGTTTTCTTCTGAGGTGAGAACCTTTTTAGACAATAAGTTAAACACTTCCCGTTCGTTGAATCTGCCCGTACCACCATCTTATAGAATCGTTCTTGGAGAATTACGGCCATACTCTTAAACGGAGCTTTCTTCGAACAGTTAGGCCTATTACAGATCTGCTTACATGAAACCAAAGAACACAATTTGCTTTTTCTTGCACAGTAGTCATTTTGATCCTGAGGTTAGTTTAATGTTTGATTCGTCAAATGTCATACTCAGCTGGTGTCCATTGTTGGCCAGCTGACAATGTCACAACACAAGTCAACGGAGAAAATATAACATACAATCACATTTCAGGTGATTTTTACAGAATGTTTATAACCATTTTTTTATAATTACTGACATCTTTATAATTGTTTTGCAGTTACTGTATAAAACTGCTTTAATTTGCATAATGAAACAATTCCCACGTTACCAAGTTGTTTGGTTATTTAGTTATTACATCTTAAAATGTGTCCAATAATATAATTTATTAGACATTTATAATACTAGATAGTTGTAATAAAAACTTAGAGATTGAAATTAAATCAATATAGATAGTCATTGTCTTTTTAAAACTTGTATGTTTTAGGGTAAAGATGTGTCCATAATCAGGTAACTTAAGCAATATAGACAATTAATAGCAATTGATAACTCAGTGGTTGAAATCACTGCTTCGGGCGTTGATTATTACACTTTCAAAAAAAAACCTATTGGTATTGCAAATCTGTATTTTTGTTTTAAACAAAACTAAAAAAAATACTGATTGCTAAAATCGCGTTGGCAACGCTAAGTTTGCCAAATTGCAATGAATCATAGTTTACTGAAATCTCGAAAAAACGATAACAGTCGCATGCTTTCGCGGAATTTTTAACATCGGATTGAGAGGTAAATTATCAACAAAAAATCGTTGACACAACATCAATTACACCACCCAGTGTAAGAGCATACTGTATACTGTATAAGAGTATACGGTTTTAGCTTAACGCCATAAACATATTGAGTTTTGACCACTCTAATCATGCTCAGATGTTCTTTTATGAATAACAGGTTTCTGTATGATCAATAGTGTAACAATTTAGAACTTTTCAAGCGCGCCAAAAGGTTTTAGCTTAACGCTATAAACATATTGAGTTTTGACCACTCTAATCATGCTCACATGTTCTTTTATGAATAACAGTTTTCCGTATGATCAATAGTGTAACAATTTAGAACTTTTTAAGCACGCCAAAAGGTTTTAAATCAATTTTCTTTGTCTAATGACCATGGTATAAATTATGCTCTTGGAAGATTTTACCCTGCATCAAAACTTGTGGTTCTGAGTGGCACTGAAAGTTTTGTCACAATTATGACAAAGATAATTGAACAAAGTGTGGTTACATCCTCAAACAAAAATTATACTGGTTCCGGACTACGATCTTACCACAGTATCTATGAGATTAGATATGTGAAATTTGTATAAAATACCACATATTGTTGGGTTGAAATCTAAATTATCATATACCGATATTTACTATTTTACGTTTTAAAAAATACCGAACCTATATGACGGTTACCTTTTACCAAACCTCTTCCACCAAAAAAAAACACACACACACAGATATTTTATACATATAGTTAATAACAACTTGGTAGTAAAAAATCTATATGGAACTCGATAACATACAGTATTTACGGTGGAGTCGGTCCTATAACTCTAAATTGAGATGAATAACTAATTATTTTAAACGAGTAAATAAGAAAAGTTTTGTTCTGGTACCAATTCTTATTTATTTAATAGTACAGTACCTGTAAAATCTTGCAAAACGGTAGGGTTACTTTGTAAGTCTACATCGAAAGACATGTTAATGTAAACTGAATGACAACTGTTTGATGTATGTTGATGCAATGTAACCAGATTGGCATATAACACAATAGCTGTTATAATTTGTATAATTTGCTGTTTGTTTATTGTGGTCTACTTTAAGGTTTGGAATTTTCTCATAGAAGATGTTGAGCAAAGTTAATATAATTTGAGCACAAGTAAGGTTTGACATAACTGTCTGTTTCAGGTGTGGCAAGACATAGAGAACGTGATCATGGGGAGTGACAGTGGTGGTGGTGGTGAGGAGGTGGACCCTGAGTCAGAGGTGGTACAGATGCAACATTGTGAGACCTCCAGCAACGGCTACGACGCGGACCCGTGGCCTCCGACCTCCTATGCGGATCTGAACCGACCGTTCGTCACCCCCATGTTCTATCCCAAGGAGGACGGGGACAGGATAAAAGTCGAGGACCAATGTCCGACAGAAACCACTTACTCTAGACAACCCATGGTCGGCAGTTACCTTCCCTTGCCCTCAGGGTCGCATGTGTTCCCTACGCCTACTCATCATCCTCACTACCCGTATAATCAAGCGCCCTTCGTATCTCCGGGTCCTAGATGTGTAGTTCCTCTGAGTCAGATCTCTCCGCCCGATACTCCGGAGACGTTTCGTACCCACACTGTCCATCAGTACGGCCACGGACTAGGAGCGGAGGACCATCCCTCACACCACTTTATGCTCATCACACCGCCGTCGTCTCCACACGTGTCGACACTCCACGGACCCCCGGACCTACGACACAGGCACCCCGGACACACGTTCCACCCCGGACCTCACACTCTGCCCGTGCTGCCCGCGCCGGCCGCCGTCAAGTCTCTCGTCAACAAGACTCGTCGTCGTCAGAACTGGACCAGGAGGAAGGTGATCGTCCACACGTGCTCTCACTCCGGCTGCGGCAAGACCTATACCAAATCCTCCCACTTGAAGGCTCATCTCCGCACCCACACGGGCGAGAAGCCGTACCAATGTCAGTGGAAGGGCTGCGGCTGGAAGTTCGCGCGGTCCGACGAGCTCACTCGACATTACAGGAAACACACGGGAGATCGTCCTTTCCAGTGCAGACTCTGCGATAGAGCGTTTTCGCGCTCCGACCATCTCTCGCTGCACATGAAGCGGCATATCAATATTTAGGGGTAATTGTTAATGTTGGTATGTAGAGAAAAACTAAATATCGTTGAAATTTCCATATTTAGTGATCCAATGTTACAATTGTTGTAATTGAAACGTACGTTAATCAAACAATCTCACATTACGACATACAATAAGATAAACAATCTAGACCGTTAAGACATATTGTTCCTACATTATTTGTAAACTATTTGTTATTGTTTGCTGCTGCTCAAGTAGCTTTCGGTCTCAGTCTAAACAATCCTAATTGATGGGATCGAATTAAGTATTTGCGGCCGAAACCCTATGGTATTTATTTGAAATGCCCGTTTGATATCATATTGATTACACTAATTATTGGCAGCTTGCATGGTTTAGGTTAGGATTTCGATTTCCGAGAAAGCAATGGTTCCACTAAAAAGGCGAAAGCAGTATTCAAATCAACTGCGGGCTAAGTTCACTTAACCTTCAGAGTTTCTTTTGTACGTAAATCCTCGATATGCATCTACGTTACTTTTTCGTATCCTGATAGCTATACTTTTCTCAACATAAAAGTTACCATCTTCCCGAGATTTGTCACTAATCTGCCTTTATTAGAATGCATTGTAAGTACAATAATGCCGTATCGAAGCCTCAATTTTGTACACAGAAAGCATTTGTCCAATCAGTCATATGATCGAATACGGTGGAGTGAGACAATTATGCCAAAACAAAAAAAATTAAACTTATATTGTAGTCTATGTCAGTGAGAGTTACCATATTATTGATAGCTCGTATATTCGTATTTTTATACTTGCAAATAAATTGATGTATTTGATTTGACCAACCGAATAAATGGATGTATTCAGATCCCCATTAGATAAATGCCATATTACATCAAAACAAAAAGTAAAGTATAAGTTCATATTATGAGAGCCACGCCGTACCGCACCGAAAGACTACATCAGTTTGTGTGTAGTTGTAGGCCTATAAGTTACAATGTTTCTTTATGCGAATACTAATTATTCTCCTTCTAGTCCACCCTTAGCCGCAGTTATCGGAGCTCGGTGCTCGGTGTATAACAGCCCATACATTTTATACTCTTGAACCCTTCCTTCCCCGTATGTTTGTTCCAATGTTTCAAATAAGGGGTTTTCCACATTGAGTTACTGAATTTATCAATACTCATATCTTGTAGTTTTTACCTCCATTCACCATACCTGGACATGTACTACGTAGGTTCACCAATCTCCAAGACATATTGATTCCATCTTCATCGCGTCTTTTCAAGAGTGCAGTCTGGTGCATTGCAGTATATATTTGAATAAAAAATTTATAATTCTATTTCTTCGCAGAAAGGGTCCTAGAAAACCAAGTATTGTCGTTAACTTCGTCTGGGCTTGTGCAAATAAAACGGGATGGTCCAGGTTTTCCTATTTCTTCTACAATATTATGAACATCTCGTTCTCCCTTTCAGTGAAAATTATTCAAAAGGCTTAGTTGTACGATAATAGTTTCATATTTTATCTTTATATTGTACTTGTATAATTTATTGATGAGTGAAAATGTTTGATATTGTGAAATGCGTGTTGAAAACCCCAAAAACCTTTGAATATGGTGGGGAACAGCGTTTATAAAATTCCCTAGGCAAAGAAACGAAAATTTGGATTTAAAATATTAAAATACGATCGTAAGGTAATAAATACCCATTCACAAAATTAACTAATAATGTCATCAATATTTACACTTACAAATAATCACACCATAATTACTACCAAACCAGACCCAACCAGATAATTCTCTGATTTTTTATTGAACTAAATTATGTTGCGAAAATTCAGTGCCGTTTAAAGATCAAACTTAAACTAGCTTCAACATTTTATTTTAATATAACTTCCATAAAATAATGCTTTGAGATAAGTGTCTCTAGTTTTTAATACAATTAGTAAGCGTGAAAACTCGAGTTTCTTAAATAACAGGATCTTAGCTTGCGACCTCTTCTCTTTGGTCATTAATCCTAACTTAACCAACTTCAGTATTAGTGAACATAGTGGTTTACGATAAAAACATAATTATTAAATTAAAACATTTGAATCTAAGTGAGTTCCACTTTGTGTTCTGATGGTGCAGACGTGTTCTAGACGCGATACTGCCAGTTCCAGCACAATGACGGAGGCTGTAGGCTTCGCCTGGGACAGACAATGGGCCGCGGAGGAGTAAGGAGTGCCTACTCGTTGTTTGTGCCGTTGCATTTCTCCATACAATGCCTCAAAACCAACATCTCCTCTAATCGTCGTACCTCTCTCTCAAATCAAATTATAAAACTGGGTTGCGGAGTGTGTATACGCGAGAAAACTCGTAGACACATTTGTTTGAGTAGGAGACTCTCATCTAGGGTTGTGTAAACTCAAACGAACTTAGTACGTAAAATGAATAGTCCAATCACTGCAATATATTTTACGCCATACTACACTGTTTTAACGAACTTCCCACGCAAGTATTTAGTCCAGAAAACAGCTGTTTGCCGCCAGCTTAATCAAATGGGGTTTCATTGCGTACTACTGTTATGCAATGAGTTTTACCGGACACCAATCAGCTGATTATACTGTATTTGGGTGGCAATGAGTGGTTTGGTTGGAGACAATAGTATATTACGTTACTAGTCCTGAAAATAAATGTTTACCGGACGAGTGTGGTCGTTCCCGTGCGAGACGAAGTCGAGTACGGGATTACCATACGAGTCCGGTACACACATTTTGGACGAGTTTCGTACGATAGTTTACGCCATACTACTTAATTCGTACAAATCCTTATATATTTCCACTAACTAAAGGACTGTTTTTAGCGAATTTCCCATATAGGGAATAAGCTATTACCGTAGGTCTCATGGTAAGACCTAGACCCGGGACCGATTTACTTTTTCATTTTGAGGTCCCCAGAGGCCAAAAACACCATCCGTTCAAATTCATATATATATATATATTTATATATATATATATTTATATATATATATATTTATATATATATATATATATATATTTATATATGTGTCCGTTAGCGCGATAACTCGAGCAAAATTGATCCGATTTTGATGAAATTTGGTACAAACGTGTAAACCTACATTTATTCGAACGAGTTCGCGAACCAGCATAATCGGACCATGGGATCAGGGGTTTATGGGGGGTTTTATGGGGTAAAAATGGGTTTTTCTCATTTTTGACCCTAAAAACTTAAAATTTCTAAATTTCTCTCTAGACCATTTTGAAGAGCTTAAAAAAACAAATAATTTAGTATATTGAAGTATTTTTGAATGTTCATTGACTACGGAGAAAATTTAAAAAATTGTAAATTTAAAATTCCCATGTTATTCTTATGGAGAATAAATAAACTGTTCTAGTTTGCTTGTTTATGGATATATTTTAATCAAATTTGGCAATTTGGTTTATTTCATACTAAGCTATCAATATTTCAATTGAAAAAACACATCTCAACATCTTCCCCGTAGCAGCAAACCTAACTACTCACTAAAATTAATGTTATTTAAATAGGAAATAAATCTGAAAATTTATAGGGAATATTTTAGTAGAAATCAAGCCGGGTAAATGGAAATTCGCTTAGGATGCAGGTTTGCTGCGACGGGGGTATATTGTTTATAACCAATGATTGCCACGCAAATACAGTATAATCAGCTGATTGGTGTCCGGTAAAACTCATTGCAGAACAGTATTACGCAATGAAACCCCATTTGAATAAGCTGGCGGCAAACAGCTGTTTTCTGGACTAAATCCTTGCGTGGGAAGTTCGTCAAAATAATGAAGTGTGGCGTAAAAACATAACCTCGCTTAGAGGTTATGACTAGTGATTTTTAGAGTGATTTGTAGAGATTTAGTAGTATGGCGTAAACTATCGTACGTAACTCGTCCAAAATGTGTTTACCGGACTCGTATGGTAATCCCGTACTCGACTTCGTCTTGCACGGGAACGACCACACTCGTCCGGTAAACACTTATTTTCAGGACTAGTAACGTAATATACTATGTCGCCACACTGCTCTGTTTTAATGGACTTTCCACGCAAGGATTAGGTCCGGAAAACAGCTGTTTGCCACCTGCTTAGTAAAATGAGATTTTATTACGTAACTTACTACTGTATCGTAATGACCGAACACCAGCTGATTAATTATTGTATTATTGGTCATTAAAAACCTTTATAAGGATTAAGTACACCGTGTCCCAAGATGGATGAAATCTTTAGCTTATACGTATCACCAAGGGTCGTAGAAAAGTCAACTATTGCTGGTTTTAAAGCTGGTCCTTTAAGGTTTTTTAGTACCCTTCCAAAAATCAGCCATTCCATAGTTTGTAGAGAAGAAATTTATGGTGTGATTTTTGTTTGTTTGGGAGATTGTGAAAGATCAAGTGTATCACTCGCCGATTTCAAACCTGGATGAACTAAAAACAAAGATGAAACAAAGAGATGTCTTTAAAATATATATAAAATATATATACAGGGTGTCCAGCTTTGACTAGGACAAACTTTACCAGATTATTCGGGTGGTCAAAACAGAAAAAAAATGCAATCCAACATGTGTCCTATCACAAACCGTTTCGCGTATGTCTGTCTGTGTGTGCTTTTTACAAAAAACATTCATAACTCCTTAACGGTTTCAGCTATATTATTTGATATTCAGCAAATATGTTTTTCGTTTTGCCCCTAGTATTTGTGTAAAATATGAATAAAAATGTTATAACCTTTTCAAAATTGCGGCTATTCTTGTTTTAAAAGCTTAATATCTTAAAAAATATCTTTAAATGGCAGTAAAGCTGGGTTTTCCTAGACGCGGAGTCGGCCAGCGGAGAGCGGACAACGGAGAGCGGAATTGAAATTAACATGGCATTCCGCTCCGCTGCTAGGAAAACAGTAACATTAAATTACCTAAGACCAGCTGAGTCCGCTCTCCGCGTTCCTCTCTCCGCTGGCCGACTACGCGCCTAGGAAAACCCGGCTTAAGTGGTTACAAACGAACACGTAACCTCTCAGAGAAGTTATCAGTAGTGATTGTTAAGTCATTAAGTTCGTAGGAACATATTACTGATTTTGACAGTGTTCTATTTTTAGGGAAAATGGCGAAAAATATCGTTCGTCACTCGTCCAAAACGTGATACCGGACTCGTATGGTAATCCCGCAATCGACTTTGTCTCGCGCGGGAACGGCCACACTCGTCCGGTGAACACATAGTTTCGGACTAATAACGTCCCGGCCCATACTATTCTT